AGATGAATTTATTTCCTGATAAGAGTGAAAAATTTAGAGAAAATGGAGTTTAAGGCTTAAGATAGTTGCTTGATGTCATCCTAACTCTAAACCACACACGAAAGATAGGCAGACCCACCCCAGACATCCCTCATGTGGTACCACTGCACAGCAGATAACTTTCATCAGAGGAAGAAAGTCCATTTTTAAACCTTTCAGAATATGTGGCAGGAATTTCCTGCTCAGTCAAAGTTGTCGAGGGAGCTGAAAGGGAAGTGGGATAATCCTCCCAGAGCCCACGACTCTGCCACCCTGTGCCCACCGTTGTGCCCACCCCAGTGCCCTGAGGGAAGGTGGCTTGCTGGGAGCAGGCAAGAGTGCCTCACAGCCTCTCCACGTAGGTGTGATGAGTTTTCAGATTGACAGATGTAACCAGCTCATTGCTGCTTAGGCCCCAGACTGTGTATCTTGGCTTAGCCCAACTGAGCTGTAGTTCTTCCAAAGAAATCTGTTCACCGACACTATGACTAAACTGCTGGTGAGCTATTTTGGCATGTATAAATGCTGTGAGCTTTGGTAGCAGTTACAGCTGTGGAGTTTCAAGAGACCATCTAGACTGGTCCCACTACACCTGAACTATCCTTGAAAGATATTTGTGCAGCCTGTTCTTAAGAGCCACCAGAAGTAAAGACTTCACATCCCCTTCAGCAATGGATTTCTGTGCTAACCTCTCTCTACTGGTTCCTCAAGGTACTTTAAAATGCTCAATCTAAATCCTTAAGCCAATAATAGCCACATGGAGAGAATCCAAAAATATCACTGACAATGGGTGTTAATACCAGTTCAGAAACCTTAAACTCTAAATTGTCTGTGTACAACTGTTTGGTGGTCACAGCAGACTGGACGGGTACTGGGACAGTGCAAGTAGCCACTTGCAGGCACAATTATGCCATGGTTTTCCAGGAGAAGTACAGCTTCCCACCACTCCTATGTATGCCTAGAAGCTTCTTGGGTAAGAGCATGGACAGAAAAAGTTATTTTCCTCACAGCAGTCCACACAGTAATTTTTGGATTGTGTTGCAGCTCAAGGCAATGATAAAGGGATGTCTTGGGCATCCTCTGAGCCCTGCACCAAACAGCAGAGGGGAAAGACATTGTTTGCCAGGAAGGCTGGCTACTTTGAGGGGGAAAGTTGTCCTGAAGTGGGAATAATGCTTCTGGTGATTGAATTACTTCACCTACAGCTCAGTAGCATGTCTCTACAGGGCACTGTGTAGGACCATGTAGATGGAGGTGTTTAGTGATGTCAGTGTTTTCTGAATCATCAACCAACGCAGTGGTTTAATCCAAGGAACCTAATTTCCTTGCTAGACATAAACACAACCCAAATATCATTAGAATTAACTAGGTGAAGTCTGAGCTATTTTCTTCACCTCCATGTCATTTTCCTGTATGTCCCATAAAGTGGCTCAAGTGTGGTTCCTCTCCCAAGCATTTCCGGGCTGGCAGTCATGCAAGAGTCTTTCATGTGCTTTGCAAAGCGTCCCTCTTCCATCTATTTGGGAATATGAGGAAAACAGACTGTCTCAAAATAGACTTCTACTTTCCATTCTGAACAAAACCACAACATGTTTGGAAGATGGCATTTCCCCCACTCACCTCAAGAATGGCTTTTTGAGAGCTCTGATTCTGCAGTGATTTGTATTCAGCTTGGCTGAAGCACAGCACAGGGACAATATTTAATTCTTCCTTGCTATTTTCTCTAGCTTTGATTCACTGCAGTGTAATTTTGGAAACTTAATCTGGTTTCATCAGCCATGACTGGAGCTAGAAAACAGGGCAAGTTATCAGAAGATACAGCAGGGAGATAACTAAAAGAAGTTTCAATTGGCACAAATTATCAGGAAATCCTCCCAAAATCAAGCCATCAAGGAAATGATGGAAGTACCTGATTTCACTGAAAATGAACACACGCATACACCACAACACACACAAACAGAAATACACAGCCCCTTTTATTTATCTGAAAGTCAGTTTTGGTTTGTTTTTTTTTTTTTTTTTTTCTGGGGCTACTACAAATATTTTAACGTATCCTGGCTCCAGTCCAATCATCTGCAATTGCTGGCAGCCATTTTACATCATCCCTGTCATAAGTTTCACTGTTGCAGTGATTTGTGCTTTGATTTTATTATGCCCCGATCCAAGCACAGCACTCTGGAGCAGTTCAGAGTCTACACCCAGGTCTGAGTGCAGCAGCTGGCACCTCTGCCCTGAACGGGTCTTTATTATTTATTGCCTGTGCTGCAGGAGTCCCCAGAAGCTGCGTCCCCAGGAGGGCTGTGCTCCTGGGGAGCAGTTTGTGCTGCCAGCAGCTTATGCAGCAAAAGCAAAGCCAACTCATGCCTGGGGATCAACAGGAGCAGCACTCAGGGAAGTTGGGGTATAAGGTGGCAGTTACCAGTAATAAGTTTGCAACATGATTGCCCATGAGCATTGAAACTGCTTGATGGTTTTCCAGCCCTCAGAGGGCTGAGTGCCCGCAGCCCTCCCCACAGAAGCCAAGGTCACTTTGCAAGGGGTGCACTGTGGGGATCAGGCCGAAGACACTGACTCCATCTCCAGTTTGTCTGTGGTTTAGTAGGATATAATTTCTGGCACACCTCAGTGCATCTAATTGTTGTCACTCTTAGAGCACAAGGACAAATTGCTGACAAAGAGGGCTGCATAAAAATGCACTTGGGTGCAATAGCTGTGGCAATATTTCAAACAGCTTCCTATTGTACATCTTCAAGAGAGATGCAAGCACTTGTGCTTTATGATTGTGCAACCATATCATTGAATATGGATAGCGTTTACAAGTGCTGTGTAACGTGTTGACAACTCTGCACACATAAATATGTATTGTTTTTCAGGCACCACCCAGACAAAGGGAAAAGTGGATTTTTTATTTTAATTTCTTTTGCAATGTCTGAGCAAACTGCTACAAGACTTATAAATTGGGAATCCTAATGACTTAACCAGCAATTCAAGACAAAGCACTGCAGATCTCTAAGTTCAGCTCCCTAAAACATTTCTATCTTTTGCTTAGATCCCACCAATTATTCCTCTTTTTTTTAATGGCTATTAGCTCTTGAACTCCCTGGTTTGTTCTCTACCTCTTTTCGGTGACTTTTCAAAATTCAGATCATTCCAAAGTAAAGGCTTTAGCTGTCCTTTAAACCAAGATTCCTCTTTCTTTCCGACATCAAGAATTCTCTCTTTGATAACTTCAAATGTTTCTTCCTCTCTGCAGTGAGTACTTAATTCTCACCAATGGTTTTGCTTTTCTATCAAACATAGCACTAGCACCCTGAATGTTGTTTATCTGCTTTGGTCATTGCTTGCTTTCTTTGCTGTTTTTTTTTTTTTTTGTTTGTTTGTTTGTTTTAACTTTTCAACTAAATTGATACAAACAACACCACTATTTTTTCAGCATTGTTGTGGGCATTTGTTTTTTCCTAATTATGTAAAAATACACTTGCTTTTTATACTCAATTAAAGCTTCCTTTATGTGTTAGCAGAGCTGCACAACAGAGGTTTTCATCCTGCGCACTGCTTTCTCTGACTGTGAAACAAATAAAAGCCAGGCTTTTGCATTTCATAACCTTGAAGTTCTCTGAGTAGTTTCACCTCCAGGGCTGGGTAACTGAATGTTTTCAAGCAGCTTAGAGAGAAAAATGGGGAGGGGGGTGTGTGTGAGATTGAGGAGAAGGTGGCAGTAAACAAGAATATATTTTCAGATTTTCATGATTTAAACTAAACTGAATAGCAGCAGCAACAAAAGTAGAGACTGTATATATAGATGATGGAATAGTTTTATAATTTAAAATACACATTGTGTTAGACTTTCAACATGAAAGGGCTAATGCATTTCTCATAACATCCCACATTTTGTTAGTGCTTTCCACCCCATACTGGTACAAATGATATTTGAGTACTGACAGACTGAAGGGAACATGTATAGACCATGTTATCCATTGCTGGGTCATGGCTGTACATGTGGTATAATGTGACAACTGTTCTAATAGTGCTCTGCATTGCTATGCAGCAATTTCAGGACAGACCTGGGAGAGTTTTACTGGAAAAGCAAATACACTAGAATGGATGTAGTGACTCATGAATGGTGGTGAGCTGTGCAGAACTGCTAGATCATGGGGCAAGAAGAATGTGATTGCTCACATTAAATCATCACTGCCTCCTCTACATCCCTGGAGGCTTTTTTATTACCACAAGTAGCCAAAACCCCCTTTGTTTTCTAATTATTCTAACTACTGTGTCCTCCAGTGGCACATTGACTTTTCACACTGCCCTGACTCACTTGCTCTATCAGTACCAAATCAAAAAAGGCCTATCACATCTAGAATTACCAGTACTGCTCTCTCTACTAGCCAAGTTTACCTTAAAGGCTGTTTCTTCAACAGCTGACCTTGTCTGACCTTGCTTAGCTTGTGCTATCTATAGAATTGCAGAAAAGTGTATACAGAAGTCAATAGGATACAGCTTTTCAGAAAAAAATGGGAGCTATTTACACCTTCTATACAAAAACTCCAGCCTAGACATGCAGATAGTCCCTGATTTGATATGACACTTATTTCTGAGTTTGTAGAAGAAAGGCTGTGGATTAGGAAAAAAAAATTTAAAAATCAGACTTTGTTATATAGTGAAGCCAGAATGTTCTTTAAGTATACCATGTATTAGGTGCTGCATGGAACGGAGAGAATGTAGGTATTCCTGGTGACAGAACAGAGGTGAGATATTGCTTCCATGGTTGGAATAAACTCCTAACATGCTGCATGGTATTTACTGTCTGTATTAAACAAAATCTCTTTTGACACTTATAATTTGAAATAATTTCTTCAGATTCTAAACCAATTTGTTAATGACTGTCTTCATATATTGAAGTTGGTGGAAGGTGGATGTATATTATTATTCTTGTTTCTACAGAAAGTGTTTTTTTTTTTCCTCATATTACATGTCTACAGGATAGTGCAGTTACAGATGTAATCTGCAAAATATCAATTTGCAAGAAGAAACTTCAAGCTGCACAAGGACACAAGGCTCTTTCTGTTACTTTCAAACACAAGTCTACTCTTCAAAGAGCTTGAGAAGAAAGTGGATGCTAATAGGACAAGCAGTTCATTATTTTTTGCAATTTCATGTATACACACTGGAAATCATTGGCCCGTGAAATGTACCCTGTGTAGTCCAGAGTTCTTACCTTATTTATCTCTAGCACATTTATGCACATGAATATGCACTATTACATTCATTTACAGCTCCAGGACAAGAAGGCATCCTGAGATTTACAAGATTTGGCTGATGTGCTGTGGCCAGTCTCCTATTTCCTTCAGGAGTTCAGCACATCAGGACAAAGCAAAACAAGGAATAAATTTTATAGTTGGGATTTACATGCAAATGGACGGTTTCTGGTAACTGATCTGGAAGATGATGTCTGCTCACAGGTAGGATGGGCCAGTCTCCTGTTGGAGAATGGCTCAGAGACAAGGGTCCTGAGCCCACCGAGCAATTGTATGATCAGAGCCTGCTCTAGCTGCTGATGCTGGGCCTCACTAGGGTTTGCCTGCAGCTGCTTGCAGCTGCTGATACAGGAGGAATGTCAAGGACGCTTCAGCCCTGTGTACTGTGGTGTGTCGAAAACAGGCTAAGGGGAATTAGGAATAGTGGTCTGAGAAACCTAGTGTTATGATAACGGTGGTCTGAGAATCATTGTGTTACGGTACTGTCGTGTATTGAAAACAAGTCAACAGGAATCAGAAATAGTAGCATGAGAAACTTAGTGTTATGAGAAGCTTGGGCTGTAAGCTAACTGCAAGTAGGTGGACCGTGCAAATACGACCTTTAGAGCTTAAGCCAATCAGCTAGTGACTAGTAGGCATAATAATTATCATTGTCTGTATAAATATATGTACCCTGGACCAATAAAGACACACGTTGATTGATGCTCTATCACCCACACTGAACCCGTCTCGGCGTGTCGTTCGTCCGCGGCTCCGCAGTCTCCCTCACCAAAGACATCATAATTGTTTCCCTTTTTTAAAATTCCATAGCCCATGACTTTTCACAAGAGGAAGAATGAGGACTGGGAACCAGTCTTATTTTTGTTAATAATCTTGGCAGAAAAACTAAAGGTGTGCTAATGTATTTTGTTGCTGGTATGAGGCTGAGGGGCATTGTGAACACACGTAAGGTTTAGATGATAGCATAGAAGAAACTGAGGACTTTGGTGGTCTGGCAGAAAGAAATGGGGTGATATTTATAGTGCAAAAAGAAGGATCACTTACTTTAGAAGTAACACAGAAAATTTCTTATATAGGAGGCTATTGGTTACAAATGACAGAGGGAAAGAAAAACCTCTGTGCACTAGGTAGTTTGCTATGAGTGTGTGATGCAGTATAGCTAAGGAAAGGCAAATGTTGTACAGGATGTATTTCTGATAAGAAAGTGCAAGGTACCTAACACTGTATCTACTTTTAATGAATCTGAATCTGAATCAGAGCCAGTACATATCTCTTAGGATCATCGGAACTTATAAAGCCCAGTTTGTAAGAGGAACCAAGTTGTCTATGTACTAGACCAATTTGTGAAGTACTTTACATAATGCCCCTGCCCATTACTTTAAGAAATGGGCTCAGTGAGGAAAGAGACCCTTTCCACAACTTTTTTCTTTTAATAGTACTGACCTCATGTTCGATCAGAGATATCAGCTAGGTTCTTAATTTGTTGATTAACTGGGATGAACTTTTAAATAAACTGAAAGTATTTGCTTACATCAGCTGTGGCAAATCTACTATTTCTGCAGAAGTAAGCCGCACATGCTTCACACCCTGGGATGAACTTGGCGGCGCACTGCCCCATGCCCAGACCATCCCTCTCACACAGGCTGCTATGGCTGGTCCCCATTCCTCCCAGTGCAGTGGGGCTCTCTCCCCTGTGGTGGCCCCAACAGAACACAGCCCAGCAGGGAGGCTCTTGGCTATGAGAAACTCGAGTTGCTCTGTCACATACCTATATCTCCAGGACTCCCTAACATAGCTGTGATAAGAGCAACCTTGGAGGCAAACGACAAATACAGTGCTAATGACATATTCTTCCCATACTAAACCCAGAAATTCTGCACTGAAGACAATGTCCAGCACCTGTAGACAGAAGGAAGAAGAAGAAAAAAGGAAAGCATTATTATTAAGCCACACTTCTGTGAAATGCTGTGGTTTTGCAGCGATGATCTAAGAATTAAGACAAGCTAACGAGATACCTGTCCTTGAATAGTGGATGTTAAGCGTGATTTATGTTAAGTGCAAAGCACAGTGGTACCCCTGTAAAGGTAAGAGTAGGAACAATGTTTATTATCTTCAAACCATTTAATCTGTATTTAGTGAATGATGATTATAAAGGGTGCCCATTCAGTAATGAGATTCAGACTCTCTTAGTTAATTGATATATGGCAGATAACATTGAAAGAGATCTTCAGTTCAATGCCACTTTATACTATAGTTGTACCAACTTAAGTAAAGTTTTCTCTGAGCGTTCATATGCTGTAAAAAAATTAGTTTGTTTGAATTGTAAGTTTTCAATGGGAGGAGAAACTGGGCTTATGGAGTTTGTTAGAAGTGATGAAGTTTTTTAAGACACATGCCTGTAAACATTTATATCATGATCTACTGTGATGCTGTTGTCTCAAGGTGCTTTCCTAGCAGAAAAAAAATCCCTATATTGCCATGTTTTAGTTCTAGCATGAAGTTCATTTGGAATAATGAATTCTCAGACTTTCTAAGAACACAGAGCATGTGTCAGGAATAAAAAACGAAAGGAAAGTATAACAAAACAGTTTCTTATGTAATCCTTACTTATTTGCAGGATGAGTATTTACGCTTGCTTTTTCTTTCCCTGCACGTATGAATGATGAATTTAACATGCACAAAAGCACAGGTGATTGAGAGTACTCCATGCTGATGGTGGGTATTCATGTGCAGATGACAGCTGTTAGATGTAGAGATGATATTAATATTGCTTCACTTTTCCCAGCCCCAACTCCACTCCCTCTCTCTCCCTCACTCCCTCACTCCCTCACTCCCTCACTCACTCACTCACTCACTCACTCACTCACTCACTCACTCACTCACTCACTCACTCACTCACTCTCCTTTAGCCTGTGTCTGCAGTACACAGGCTGCAGTTTATCAAGTGGTCCTCCACTCTCTGAGGGAAAGCTATGAATTTGCTGGGGTATGAAGGGGTACCAGAGGCATTTTCTTTTGACATAATTGTAAAACTATGGTCCAATTTATCTAAACAGCAGGTTTTTGAAACTGTCTTGTTTTGCTCCTATCATGCAACAATTCCTTAGAGATGCCATTTTCCCCAAGCAGGAGGTATCCCAGGACCTCAGAGCAGTGGTTTGCCTAATCCCAGCAGCTGATGTGTCTCTGAACACAGAGATTGAGTACAAACAACAGTCCCATTGCTGTGCCTGTTGCTAGTGTCCAGACATGAAATAGGATGAAGAAATAGCCACTGTTTAATGGAGCTGGATGAGAGCTTCAGCTGTCTGGGAAGCAGAGGAACAAGGCCCAGGTATAAGAGAGCAAGCTTGGGACAGACTAGAAGAGAAAGGGGCACAAGTGAGTCTGCACTCATGAGCTCCATGAGCATATATATACTCCCTTAAAAATCTGGAGCAACTCAAAGTACTGCAGTCTTATCCTTCCTCTCTTTTTTTGCAAATACCTGTGAAGCTCACTGGCACCCTTATATGCCTCTTTTCTGTCCCGCACCTGTCTCACAGAGGGACAGTAGCCTACTGTTCCCAGGCATCCCACTAGCTCCAGGGTTGAAGGCTAGTGTAGGGATATTGCTTCATTAATATGGTGTCAGAGGATGGAAATTCACTTCCTCTCCTCTCCTTACCTCTCCTCTCTAAAAAACTGCACACTGAAAATAAATTAAATTAAAAGGAACATGAAGACTGAGAAAAATCAATTACTCCAAATTAGCAAATACAGTTCTGAAGGTTGTTAAACCTTAGATCACCCTCTTTCGGTGCATGCTTTCAATGCTGTTTTCACTTATGTCATGACAAGGAATCTAAAACTGCCACCTTAGCAGCAGCAAAGGGCTTAGTGGAGCCACAGTCATCTTTACATTCTTGCTGACAGTGAATCATTGGATTCAGCCAGCTGAAATCCCCAAGTTCTGTAAAAGGAACCTTTCTTGTGCTTCAAACAAGGGAAAAATGTCAGGCTGTTGTAGTTTCAGGCAGAAAATTTTAACAAGGAGAACAGCATTAAATTTGTCTAAAATCCTGCTGACCTGGTCCTTAGTCCTCCCCAGGAAATAAAATTGTATATAACCTTTCCCCCGTCCTGCCCCCCCAGATGTTTAAAATTGTTCAGTTAACATTTTTAATATGAATTTTTAATTCCTTCCTGTTTCTAGAAAAGCAGCCAGAGTTAATGAATCTCTCTATGTCCTGTGGAAAAAGCTGTCAGAGATTAAGTCTTGTTTCTCATATTGGCTGAAATTACAGCAATGTCCGAGGGTGCTCAGTAAATTCACAGCCCAATGTACTAAATGCTATGAAGACACAGCAGATATTGCCCCTTGCTAAGGAACACTCATCTTTTCCACCTCATGAGCTTTGACTTCCTGACTCACAAGATACTATAAAAGGACTTCTAATATAAATAATGCACCGTCCCAAACTGAAATCTAATCAGCAGAAATGAATTTGAATATTAATGCACGAGACGTGTATGTTCATCTCTATTAGCTGTCTAGAGCTGTCCCATTTTGATGAGATCCCACTGGCCCATACTTTCCCCTGCACCACAGAATGGGAGGACATCAGGGATGCATTGCTGCAATGAAAGTAGTCTTAATCACAATATATACACATTACCTGGGGAGTTATACTGGAGAACATCAAATCTGGATGCTCTCCTGCATCCCCTCTCCCAGCACCTGCACTGTTTACACCCACTTTCTGTCTATGACAAAATCCCTTCTGGACTGAGGGAGTTTATCCAGGTCACCATTGCTACAAAGGAAGGATCGAGCTCACTTTCTGTGATGCTAGTTGAATGAATGTTGGATCCAACCACACCTACATCACTGTCTTTATGCCAAAGAAAAAACTATGCTGCTG